TTAAATGGCAACTAAAATTAGTTTGCGATGCTTTGCCACAATTATTATTATTATTATTAAAATTAATTATTAAAATTATTATTCAGTGCACATTTTTTGATAGCAACTAAAAATAGTTTGCGCTGCTTTGTCACAATTATAATTATTATTATTAAAATTAATTATTAAAATTATTATTCAGTGCACTTTTTTTGATAGCAACTAAAATTAGTTTGCGATGCTTTGCCACAATTATTATTATTATTATTAAAATTATTATTCAGTGCACATTTTTTTAAATGGCAACTAAAATTAGTTTGCGATGCTTTATCACAATTATTACACAGTTGCCAAATGCTGTCAATGGACAAATTCTTGGCCATGTAGCCACTGTCAAGCCCCACTAAAGAGAATGTTATCAATTAAGCTTTGCAGCAAAATGTTGCCCGCTCCACAAACATAATCGTACACACAAGCAGGTACTACATAACTCTAATTTAACATTTTCCAGCGATGCCAGAAAGTAATTTCCCAGACGAGAAAAATGCTGATTAACACATTAGAGCGCTTTCAATTGAATGGAATCGAGCGAAGGCATACATATCTCTACCACTATGCTACTCATATAAGGGTATTCAAATATGTATGTATTTTATATTTTGCTCGCGAGCTTCTGCTGTGTACGGTGTACGGTGTGCGGTGAGTTCGTGAATGCCAATATGTCGAATGCTACCATTTATAACCATGATTGCTGATTATGCTGTTTCTTTGGCTGAAAATGGATGACATGACAGATGGACTGGGCATGTGCGCTCACAGTCAGACATCGAGCCGACGAACCGGACCAGATCGCCCCAATCCTCCAGCCGCTCAGCCCCCCTCAGCCCGCTCCCATCCGCACCCTCAAAGCTTCAGTGACAGTTCGGTTGCAGTTGTCCGCTGCAGCGGCGGCGCGCCGGACTGCAACGCGCCGACTCAAACAACAACTCTTATTTAAATAATCATTTTTTCTGACAGCCAACTTGACTTCCAGATCAGCAAGAAGCACAATGCGAGTAGGTTCTGTTCATTCTTGAGTCGACTCGATTCGATTCGAGTTGGGTTTCGTTTCTTTTCGTTTCGTTTCTTTTCGTTTCGTTTCTTTTTGTTTCTTTTCTTTTAATTGTTTGTTTGACTGCCTTGCCTTGCATTGCGTGTGTATGTTCGCTCCTTACACCCCGATTCCCACAGCCCACTCCTCCATCGTGCCATGTCGCTTGGGCATTCGATTCTGGTTCCACTTGCACGCGTCATGGTTGACGATCCGCCTTGGGTGCGGCGCGTGGGGATCGCTGGCGTCGTTTAATTGAAAACGATGCATGTAAATGACACTTTTCAGCATTAATAAGCAAATATTTGTATGATTATTGGTGGAGCAAGGGATTATGTTCTCGTATTCACAATTGTGAGTGCTTCAGAGCCAGCATCTATACGATATCTGATCAAGTGCAGTAGTGCAGTGCTTCAATGGATGCATGGATAGTCGCAACAGGTAAAATGTTCCAACTAGTTTGCTGCTTCTACTAAGCACCAAAGAGGATCTGTTCTTTAAATTAAAATAATACTTAAAACAAACACATAGAAAAGGGAAAATGCAAAATCTCACATGATTCGCTTTTTGTTAGCGAACTGTACATTATTTGCATTTTTATAAAAAAAATATCTGATATTTTAGGTAACATTATTAATGAATTTGTTTTTAATTTTCGATTTATGAAGAAATCTGAAAAAAGCTATTACTCCTGCTTTACAATTTTTCGAATATTGTAAATGAGTATGAATTTCTAGTTGTTCTTAAATGTTCCTTCGATTTATGGGCAAATATAAATATATTTTATTAAATTCAAACATTGGAATTTAAATGATATTGTATTTTTTAAATTGTTTAAAATTTTATAAGAAACTAAACTCAAATATTTGTAATTTCAACACATTGGAAAATAAATTATATTGGCTATTAATTCTTCTGAATATCAAAATATTTTTTTCTTTTTATATATTTTGGACCCAGAGGGTAAAAGGGTCTAATAGTTTCAGGAAATAATAGTTCATATTTGCAAATAATTTTTATGGAAAGTACTTTTAATATCAAAACAATAGAATGAAAATTCTTTGTAATTGTTCTGAACGTGGGTGAATTTTTAAACTTTTTTTTTTTCAAAAATAGTTGTGCTATTAGAAATGTATTTCTAAAAAGAAAATTATACATTATATAGAAACAATTTTACTAAACAATTCCTCTGTATTTGTGAGGTAAAACAACCCATTTATTTCCTAATAATTATTAATATTTTTAGTTAAGGTTTAGAAATGAAACTGTATTCATTTTTTGTTTGTTTTGATGTTAATAAACACTAACATTAAGTGAGACTTTATTATTATTTTTGTTTGTTTTGAGTTTGTTTTTTGCTGAAAATAATTATTAATACATCTTTCATACAAAATTGGAATATATGTGTCCATATTTTAAGGCAAGAAGGTATTTCATGAAGATGAGGTACTAATTTCTCAAAAAAATAATATTATTAATATTATATTAAAATTGTTGGCAGAAAACTGAACTATCATTTATCTAATTTTTCTATTTTTTAATATTTAAATTTGTATTAGGCATATTTTTTATTAATAAGCATTGCGAGTTATTGAAACCGATTTTTGAACCTTCCCCTTTTTTTTTTTACAAAAATCGACATTTGTTTGCTTATAAAAGTTAAATCAGTTAAAAGAGTTAAATGCTGCAGTTGGTTAATTATTCGATACATTATTTATTTGAATGATAATTCCTCTGTATCTGGCAATTAATTCTCGCGTATCTGCATCTGTTCATGACTGGCCATATATTCTATATATGTATGAGCTAATTTCAAGATACAAAACTTCTCAACGCTGTGACATTGTGACAAGTGACAACCTGACTGACTGCACAGCATTGACGAAATTATCTGAAATATGCAAAAAATGCCAAAGCAGAACGCCAGACGCCAGACGACAGACGACGGGCTGAAATATTAAAGGAAAGCTGAGGCATAAGAATATGAGCGAAGAAACTGCAAACGCAAATCTTGAGCATTTGAAGAGACATTCGTATTCGAATTCGTATTTTTAGGTGACATGCCCTCGGTGGGACGTCTGATGTGTAGCCAGGCACCAACACATATGTTATACGTGTATCTCGGACTGTCAATCAATTTTGAAAGTCATCGTTTTACGATTTCCAGTTTGTTGTTTTCCCCTCTCCTCCCCTCTCCTTTCGAGCTATACATACATTCTCGTGTGATCGCCAGCTTGTATTTATTGCTATGCATAGCTCTGTTAGCTGAAGCTGAACTCACGTATTTTGAGCCGAGACTTATTAGCCAACTTTGAAGTCAATCGATGTGATATCGGACTATTAAGTTGTTTAAATTTATACATAATCGTCTGCAATTAGATAAGCAACTTTAATCAAATCTGCTTTCAAATTTAACCTTTATGCCATTTAATGAGGCTGTAAGATGACAAACGACAACAGATTCGTGATAAAGCGGCTATCACAGGTTAATAGAAGAAAGCAAAAAAAGCCTGATTAAGACTCAAATGTAATCCCAAAACTCTGAAATCATCTCAGTCTTAAAACACTTATTTATGAGTTATCTCTAAAGTTAACTATTTAGAACCGGCTTAAACCGTTAGGTGTGTGCAGTGGAAAGAATTTTGCATTTACATTATAAATAATTTCTTAATTAAACTGTATGGAAGAAGGGTTTAAGATAAAAAATTTAAGGTATTTCTAAATAGATAATACTCTTAAGTAAGGGTAAAAAAATATAAAAGAAGTCAATCTCAATCAATTATGAAATGAGATCATCATTAAAGATCATCGCTGTAAATCGGAATAGTGTTCTTAAGAGAAGAATTTTGTAGACTACCATAAAATGGCGATCTATAAAAATAAACTATAATATATAATTGTTAATCATCTATTGGGTAGCTGCAGGAAATAACATGTCATCGTTAGAAAAAGCTTGAATAGCACTACATTTAATTGAGATGGGATAAGGATAATTTCTGTTTTACAGATATTTTAGTCTTAGCTGGTTTGATATCTGGCGATGCAGTTGTGTATCTTCAATCTAAAAGTATGGTATAACTGAACTTTCTGCAAATACTGCCATATACTGAAAACAACTTGGTGACTTCTCAATTGAGAAAAGTTTTTAAGTTAGTCGATTTAGGTCTCACTAGTTTTGTGAGATAAGTGACTCCACCCACTAATTAATGCTGAACATTTTAAAGGAAGATGATATAAGATGACAATATTACATAGTATGTGGGATGTATATGTAAGAGTATAGAGTGATATTAAGCTTAATATTAAGATTAGCTCGTCCTAACATTAAGCAAATCTTTTAAATTAAAAACCTAAACCGGCCTTCATAATTTCTGATCGGCTTTCTGTGAACCAATTAAAGTGTTTACCTCGACCAAGGTTTTATCTTTCTTGAAAAATAAGGCTAAAATAGTTCACATGGAAACGGTGAATGGGAATTTAACTATGTTATAGATACTTAAAATGGTTTGGAAACATTGGATGCTCTTGCTTATATCTATTTCTGCCCCCAGCCCCTTCAATTCCAAGTTCTTTTTTAAAAATGGTGATCAACAAAAATGTAGCAGAGTCTGTTCAAGATATCAAATGAACTGAGAACTATCACCACACTAATACAAATATTGCTGAAATATAAGGATTAACTAAAAATTGTTTAAATAAATACAAAATGATTTCCTCCTATACATAATGGTGATCTACGTATCTACACGTTATACACGCTATAAGTATTATCTGAAATTGTTTAAATAAATACAAAATGATGATCTCCTGCTATTTGTAGATTAAAGTCTGTTTGGAGTTTTTATTTTGAAGCTTTGGCCACACTGACGTGAAATATTTCCTCATCGACAGCGGAGGCTGTCTGTAGTTAAAGGCGAGTTGCTTAACTTACCTTGAGGCTTTGGAACATTCCTCTTTAGCTGCATCCATTTGTATGTGGGTATGTTGGCGGCGTGATTCGGCGATTTTGATTGTGCGTTGGACTGGTGGGTCGCATTGGAAGTCGCGGCCGATGCTGTCGAGGACGATGTGGAGCTACCGGGCGAGATGACGCGCTGGTTTCGAGCCAGACCCATGCAGCCGCCAACGCCATTGGGCGGCGTTGCTTGGGGCTGCGGCGTCTGTGGTTGCGACTGTTGCTGCTGGTGTTGCTGTTGTTGTTGCTGCTGGTGCTGATGCTGGTGATGTTGCTGTTGCACCTGCTGTGCGGCCGAGGTCAGGTGGTGACCCAGACCATGGTGCATGTGCGCATGCATGCCAAGGGAGTCCATGGGAATACCCGCCGCATCCAGAGCATAGCCACCGGCCATGTGCTGGTGGTGGTGCCACAATTGTGGCGATGCCTGCTGCTGCCCAGCTGCCAGCTGTATGATTGAATCCTCGAGCACTAGGCCGGGCGGTGGTGCCGCATAGCCGGCATGCAAGACGGCGGCATATTTCTCCTCCATTTGACCGCCATTTGAATGCATGGCCGTGTAGCCGTGCGCTTGAACCGGCGGCTGTGGCGCCACCACATTGGAGCACTGATTGTAGAGGCAGTCCAGATTTGTGTAGCTTAGACCGTTCTCGGAACTGATGATGGGCGGATCCATGGCAATGTTCGGCTGTTGTTGCTGCTGCTGTTGCTGTTGCTGCTGCTGCTGATGGTGGTGCTGCAGTTGTTGTGTGGCATTGGTGGCCGTTACGGGTGAGTTGTTGGCGGGCGGCACAGTGGCCACCGCCGCTGTGGCGTAATAGGAATGCACAGAGACCGAGTCGCTCTCATAGTAGGAGTCGGTGGGCGAGTGACTAGTGGGATGCATGGGCGTGCCATTGGGACCCGCACCCGTTGACGACGCACTCGTTGTAATGCCATACTCGGCGGCACTTGGACTAAAGAGATGGGAGTGCGTATAGAGCTGTTGTTGTTGCTGTTGTTGTTGCTGATGTTGCTGCTGCTGTTGTTGTTGTTGCTGTTGGGATTGTGGTGGGGGCGTTAGTTGTTGGTGGTGCAGATGTTGCTGTTGCATGGTCGTCTGATAATAATTTGGCGAGCTACTCTCATAACCGTTGTAGGCCAAGGTGTGATGCTGGTGCTGATTATGACCACCGGGCGGCGAGGGGAAGTAACTGTTATTGCTACTATAGCCACCATTGCTGGCGGCACCAGTGGCGCCACCAGCCACCTGGTAGGCATTCGTATGGGGATGATTGCCATACATGCTGCTTACGTCCATCATATTGCAAGGGAGCGACAAAAACTAAGCACACAATTCACTTGACCAGCACAAGTCTAGTATTGGAAATCACTATAAATCTGAACACACGCTGCTCGATCACTAAAACTTGCGATACGCCATTACAATTTTTTAGAAAACGTCACTAGCGACGGAAACGCGAACGACGGCGACGGCTACGACGAGAACGACGACGACAACAACGACGTGTTTCATGCCTGCTGAGCAAGTCGTGACTGATTGCCGGGCAGGCAGGCAGGCCGCTGGCAACCAACCCAGCGCAGCACATGCCCGTCGCATATATTAGAAGGCCACGCCCTCAATGCCATAAACTGCACTGTGCCCGTCTCTCTTACACTTATGCGCCACTGCTGGTGCTGGCTTAGTTGCCGGTGTAGTTGTTTCGCTCACACGTTTATATACTCGTGCGCTCTTATCAGTGGTGGCATTGTTAGTCATTGCCGATTTTCACAGTTGGCTTTTCATTTAGGTTTTGGTCGTTTTTTCGTGTTTTTTGAGTGTGTGTGCGAGTTTGTTTTTTTTTGCCAATTTTGTTGACCGTCCCTGGGCACTGCTGCCATTAGAGTTACGCCCCATGTAGCTGGCGATTTGCGTCTTATTGTTGGTTAACTGGAAACTCTTGTTTCTGTTTCTTGTTTTTTTGTATTTAGTACGTTTTGTTGTTTGCGTTTTCTCACCTACCCAAACCGAATTCCCCCAGAGATTGACAGCCAGGCAGTGTGCAGGTAACTCTCTGAAGCTTAGCCCGTCCATGCGTCCATTCGTCCATCCCTCCATCTCCAGGCGTCTGTCAATCGTCATTTACACATATGACAGCCATCTATGGCAACGGCATTTAAATCGCTCGTCTCAGTGACTCAGTGGGATGCAATTCGTAGGTGCCCGTGCCCAGTCAGTCGGGTCTGTCACATGGCGGGAGATAGAGATACAATATATAGATATCTTTATTTCAGGCATTGCACCTCTCACGCTACAATGCATCATCTTTGACTGTCGCTCTGTCAGTTTGTCGGTTTTTCAGTTTGTCGGTCGTTCTACAGCTTGGAAAACTTTTGTTTTTTTTTTTTTTTGTATTTTTGTGCAAGTTGATTGACATTTTCACAACTTTCTGTCGTTGTCGGCGTCTATGGCTATGTCTATGTATGTCTGCGCAGTTGGTTTGTCCAAAGGCGTCCAACAAAGTACATTGAGTTGTTACGCAGTTGTCCTTTTGGGTGTTTGCGTAGCACACCAAGGTGATTCGTTATATTTTCGGACAGCGGCAATTAATAGTAACAGGATGTGTGTTTTTGTTCTCTCCTCCCGCGTCCCAAGCCAAATTATCTCACCAAACGAAATGGTGCAGGCGGTGTTTTGCCGATCACCAGGCCAATGGTTATAACTAAATATAGAAAGGTGCTTAAATTGTTGCTAATTTAATAATGGCATGAGGCGTCAAGCTATTTTTAAAAGTGTTTTTCAATTTTATTTATTTCATTTAGAAAAATATTTCTTTCAGGAGAAAAACTATGTATTTAATGATCCGCGTTTTAACATCTTGTCTGGACATTGAACAATATAAATTACATTTTTTATTTGAGCTCTCTACTCTCTGCTGCTATTATCTGGTAGATCAGTAGCTCGAAAAACTATCCTAGATATACAGTTTTGCAACTTTTGGTTTATTCAATAATATTTCTTTTGTACTGAGTTCTTGGCCAAAGGTTTCTCTTTTTCAGGTGCCCCTATTTGACTTTATAAATAAAAGCACTAGCGTCGAATGTGTTAAACCCTGTATTAAGTATTCTTATATATATTTAGAACTGTAACTTAAAGTGACAGACATAGAAACGCTTTTAAATAAAAGCCACATTGTTTCTTCAATAAAGATAGATGGGTCGAGTTTTGTTATTTAATAAAATGTGTAGCTGCCAGATAGATATTAAGGTTTATAATATAATGTAAATGGGCATGACTGGCAACATTTTAGATAATTTGTGGCATATTTTAGTACGCTCAAGGTTTTATTTGCCTATCATTTGATAAACAATAGCAACAAATAAGAGGAAGAAATTTAAGAGACTAAATAATATTTGTAAACATCTACATTTAATTGGCCATAGGGCATTACAAATTTGAACTAATTATATAGCTAAATAGCTTTTTATCAGACTGAAATTCAGGTCGCACGTTCTTAACAGTGCCTCGAAATTGAATTGAAATTTCAGAATATAGAAAATTATATAGTCATATAGATATTACGTAGACTAATCCAAACTAAACCAGTATCGTCGATCTCCCTGGTATATTTTCAACAATGAAGTTAACATTTCAACAATAGTAACTGAAGACAAATTAAATGCTTATCCAAATGTAAAATGCAACGAATACTTTATAATACTAGGAGAATTGTCCTCCCAGTCCAGTATCTGATTTAAAGGCCGTCAAAACTACATATTCCTCCAACTGGGCGATGGTCAATAATATAAGATTTTAATAATTTTACTAACATAAGATTTTTGAACTTGTGTGAGTTTCAGAAAAAGAAGATACAACAAATATCATAATTTAAAGAAGAAAAAATGATACTGAACTAATTGACTTAAGTATTCCACAGAGGCTAAAACTATGAGAGCGAATTGAAATGTAATTTTGAAATTTTTCCACAGAGGCTAAAACTGTGAGAAGGAACTGAAATGTAATTTCGAAAATTTTGAAATTTGACTAAAAATGGCAAACATTTTGGGAGCCATGGACAAATCGTTTAGGGCGGGTGTGAAAAAAAAACATAAACTTGATCTAAATATAGAGACCAAGTTTGGTTATTATAGCTCCTCTATTTAACGAGATCGTTACGTTCATACAGACAGATGCCTTGTCATACTGAACAGGCATATATGTACCTTGTGGGGTGTACCACGCCTCTTGTGTGTTACATTAACAGTAAAAGAGACTTTGAAGAATCCATATGAAGACTTCATTACATAAATACATGTAATTAGTATCATTAATTTTTCTATAAGATTATAGTGATTTAGTACCTTCGAAAAAAAAAGCGAGATCACTTTCAAATTGAAACCACATTGGTGGAGAATGTTGCCACATTGGTGAGCGTTAATACCATTGGATGGATCGGATGTTAGAAATAATGGCTTTGTCGAGCTTTAGAAGGCGTCAAGGGTCTGAATATTTCGTCAAAAATTCGTTACAATTGTCCGAAAAACTGACCAATACGGCCGACGCCAACCGATTGTGCTCCGCCGTCGCCACAAACAACAAATTACCTCCATTGTGGTTAATTGTGTTCTGAAAGCGATACTTAAAGCCCCATTGGCTCCACACAGGAGTGCCAGCTGCCCAGACCCATACCCACATCCGACTCCCCTCCCTTCCCCACTCCCGGCCCTGCCGTGACGTGACGAGACGAGCAACAGGCACAATTGGCGCTACGAAAATTGATGGATTGGTTGGCGCCAACTGTCACCGCTTCGCTTCGGAAAAAAAATAAAAAACAAACTCGCGGTCTTTTCGAGTTTCCCTTTGTAATTTTTGGGGTAAATCGATATTTGTGCCATTTCTTATGCAGCTCTTGACTTTTGTCTCTCATAGTTATGATTAATTAACGCAACGGACTTATGCAGCTCTTGACTTTTGTCTCTCATAGTTATGATTAATTAACGCAACGGACTTATCTGCTTAGATCGCTGCCCCTTGCATTTGTCGATAATTAGTTGCTAAAATACTACAGGGCTCTCAGGTGAACACTTCTAATTGTCAAATTACATTGCTAAACAGGTCTCAATCATGTCGGTGCATGTAACACTCAACCGGGGGGCGTATAAAGTATTTGAGTTGGAACTAGTTCAGTTGGATAGGAAAATATTGCTAACATATTGGCAACTCGCTCTCAGATGAACACTTCTAATTGTCAAATTACATTGCTCAGCAGGTCTCAATCATGTCGGTGCATGTAACACTCAACGGGAGAGCGTATAAAGTATTTGAGTAAGAAATAGAACTAGTTCTACCTGAAAGGTACAGGAGTATATTAGGTTTGTACAAAGTGAAAAATGTAACAGGCCAAAGGAGGCAGGCAGACAGCATGATAAGGCCTATCTGTTCCCACGTCTGTCCATATGAACACCTAGATCTTAGAGACTATAATAGCTAGAGGAAACAAATTTTTGCACATAGATGCCTGTTGTATTCCACTCAGTACCTTATCTATACAACCCATTAAAGCGAAATGGAATTTAACAATTTTAGAACTTTTATAACATGTCTTCTTTTCTCCTCTCTCTTCAACTTTCATACATCTTATATTTTCTCTACAACTTTAGAGTGTGTGAACATCAATTAAATACTATATGTACATAAGTATGTTTATGCAAAACCTGTTCGGGTCAACTACTGTAAAATTGGAATACTGAAACATTTAGAACAGGACAGCTAGATGAGCCCGCTTATCCATTGTGTCAATAAAACACACCAATGGGGTGTGAGGAACACTCCATAGCGGCTCCGAACAATTCTTGTTTAATAAGAAAAAAATTACTTATATTAACTGGAATACATTATTAGAGTTTACATAATATATCCTTACAAATGTGAATGAAAGTAGGCGTTGAATGAACTGTCTACAAAGCTAACGATTTATTCATATTATTTGGAATGTTTTCATTTATAAAATGAACAAAATTTGTTTTACAGTTTTCTTGTTTGTTGTTGTACCGGCGGTACGTTTAATTGTTTTTGGAAAGGCAATCATTCTTGACAATTGAAAAATGTTTCGATTTCTGCTGTACAAATGAACATAGTTACATAAATACATATAGAAATTAGGCTAGAAAAAGACGACAGCAAGCGAAAAAAAGTAGAGCGTTCAAATAGTGACAGACCGACTCTGACATACTCTGTAGTCAGCTTTTGAAGCACTACAGTTACTTTTTATATTAATCCTTCCTATAGAAGACATTGTTTTAATACAAAAATGGTTTTGATATGGAATTCAACAAACACGTTTTTGGTACCAAGCGTGATTTGTGCATTTGTCATATACATATACTTATATAGGTTAAGTAGGCTAATCAGATCACTTTTAATTCTATTATCTAAGGATATTTTATTTTTGTGACTAGTGCATTAATTTATACGAATCTTTCGTGTCGCACTAAGAACTAATAATAAATAAATAAAATACAATATTTTATTTACTATGTCAGCTATGTATGTGATATAGTGCACCTATTTTCTAAAAACTTCTGAAAAAGACAAAACTGCTAGACTTGTTTAAGGTATCTCTATAAAAAAAAATCCTATCTAATTAAGTGCGTTTTTTCACAACGATCGTTTCTATAGTAGTTATATGATATAGTGAGATGATTTTAATAAAAGTTCAGAATATCAAGAGACACTATATATAGCTATATATACAACAAAGATATCTTTATAAACGAGTTATTTTACAAAGACTATTTTGTGCGCCTATCGGACTTATGCCAGCCATATAAAAAAATGAAACTATACATATGGCTTCCAATAAACTTGCTCTGCTTATGGATAAGAAAAGTTCTAGTTGTCAGACATATCTTTATCAATTGTGCTGATCATATATGTACATACTATATGTATCTAAATTACAGTATACCCTTTCAACATTTGGGTACTGGATATGCAAAGAATACAAGCTTAGTTTTTTCTGAAATGATTTAATTACTTTAATTCCGAGGGTTAGAAATTGTCGTAACGGCTAGAAGAAACCTACATATACTTTTATAATTTTATATACAAACACATCGTTCAGAATGAATCGCTGTTAAAACTTTCTTTTCCCGCCATCCATTCACTTAGATTGCCACAAACATTGAGGAAGAAGTTCTTGAGAAAATGAACAAGTACCGAAGCAGACACAAAGTACCGCATTTAACATTAAACAGGGATCTCTGCATAACTGCCAGGGAATATGCTGGAGTAATAAGTATACCTTATATATAATGCAAGATTTTAAAATTCTATTCTGCAGATACTCGCTTTCTATTCAAGAATTGAACTGTCCAATTCTAGGGGTAATTATGGCGAATATATGTGCTATAAGGAAGATGCGTCCCCAGTGACTTGTGTGGATGATTGGTACGAGGGAATCAAGTATTATAACTTTACAGACCCTAAGATATATGACGAAAATGAGGCCTTCACTCAAATAGTTTGGAAGAGTACCACAGATCTGGGCGTTGGCAACAGTAGAAAGTAAGCGCAGGGCTAAAACAAATATTTATAAATGTAACTACATATTTAGAAATATTTATAAATGTATACATATGTTTCCACTTTAGTTCTCTTGGAGGTAACTTTCTCGTCATAAGGTATCTGCCGCCTGGCAACATAGATGGTCTGTATAAGGAAAATGTGTTAGCACTAAGTGGAAGGTACAAATAACTAGCGGATGTTGTATGTTTATCGATTAATTAAGATTTTATCTCAATTTTTCACAGCTTTACCTTTAAAGGTTCTGTATATCTTTTGATCTTTCTATTGAGCACATACTCTTACATATAAAAGGAAAATAACACTATTAAACACAAGTTAAATTGTAATTTATTAAGTTTCGCATAAAGGTATACATACTACTTATACTCTACTTTCAAAGCTTTATTATTAAAAAATCCTTATTTCAATATTAGAATATGTAAACTAAATATATAACTTAAATGGAAATAGAGAATTTTTTTTGCACAGAAACAAGCAAAGTATTTATTGTGCGAAGTGGAAGCTCTTTTATTGTTTCAGGTGTTACGGAAATGTGTACTGGCCGGTATATATATGTATAGTAAGTATATTTGATTTGGTGAAATGTCAGCTGGTTTGTTTTGTTATAATCTTCATAATCTATGATATGCTTTTACTGTTTGATAAGTGTTTTTTCGTTGAAAACGCAACCTATATCGGCCATTGCGCAGCGGTTTTGCAAACAACATTTTTTTTTGTCATTCGATAGTTTGTAGTTTTTCTTGTATAGTTTATTTTTAGAATTAATTTTGTTGAAATGTTTCTCTTTATTGGAAAATATATAATTTCTAAACTTGTAAGATTTAAAAAATTTGCTTTTTATTTTTTAAAGAAAAACTAGGAAAGTTTCAAACTTTATAGCATTTTAATAATAACATTTATTAAATAATCGAATTTTGTTCTGATTAAAAGAAAAGAAAATAAACATGTAATAAAAAATTAAAGTTAATTTGTTTCTTTATTTTATTGTAATAACTATTTATTTAGTTTATGTGAATCTAGCTTATTGTTTTTATTGTGTAATTACCATTCCACTTCATAAATGGAAGCATAAATTTGAATTCATTTTTAATATTACGAAAATAAGTTTTTGTATTTAACGCGCTCTCTCCCTAAACAAGCTTTCGTAATACACGAGCTTGGCAGCATTGATCGCGATCTTACCAACTTAGCTGTGGTAAGTGGAAACTCACCACAGCGCTGATGTGTTGAGGAACTATTGCATACTTTTAGGCAACTTTTTTGTTATACAGCAGTATTTGGAGCAAACAGTAAAACATCGTCGCATAAATTATAAATCTGTTACTGTTCTGATACAATAATTAGACTTAACTTGTAGAATCTGGGTAAATATGGAAAACTTAGCAGTTATTGAGAGAAGACAAGTTCTGTCATTCGCATAACAAGAGTATTTAATACAAAGCTATACTCTCTTTAATGTTTTAAAATTATGAATACACCTACAATAGACGAGTTAGCTATCAAATAAAACAATGCCTAACCGAAATAATAATCTACTTATCATAAAGGCTCTTCAGTGGGGCGACTATTGCACATATGTGTGTATCCCCACAAAATATCGGTACTGTTGTAACTATAGATCGGTACTAACGGCACGTTGTGTAAACAGAAAAATCATTATGTTGTTTCCTTCACAGCTCCTTGAAAAAAGCAAAAACCTGTCGATGGCTGATAAACTAGTTGCAGGCCAAGTCTGGAGGTCTGTTGCGAAGCACTGACCTTGCCACAATGCAATGCCTGTAGAACGGTGGCTGCGAATCTGTGGCATTGGGTCAGTGAGAGATCTGCCTATATAAAGGGAACGCTGTCAGAAAGGGCCTTCATACAGAGACCGCACTCAATTGCAGCAAGCCAGAAATTATTAATTCCCAGCAAGATCCAGTCATGTTTTACAAAGTAAGTAGAATTTGCATTCAACTATAAAAAGCTGTTATAAAATAGTATTTTCCTCCCACTAGCTTACTTTATTGGCAGCTCTATTGGCCATATCGAATGCCGCACTGCTGCCCGTTAAACCTGTGGCCAATGAGGATACTTACGATGCACATCCTCGCTACTCTTTCGGCTACGATGTGCAGGATTCCATCACGGGCGATGTCAAGTCACAAACGGAAACGCGCGATGGAGATACGGTGGAGGGTCAGTATTCGCTGAACGATGCGGACGGCTACAGACGAATCGTGAAGTATGTGGTTGCTGGCGATCGGGGCTTTACAGCCACAGTGCATCGCGAACCACTAGCCAGAGCGCCACAACTGGCAGCACCAAGGCCCGCGGCAGTGGCGGTGCCGATAATCGCTCCTAAAAAGCAACTCCAAAAGCTGCCAATGCTGAAGTCGTATGTGCAGCCAGCCGCATACATTAAAACGTATAGCTCGCCCGCATTCATTCACCAAGCACCTGCCGCGGTGGTTCATGCCTCACCAGTTCATTTGGCCTCCGCTGCTCACATCGTTCATGCCGCACCTGCCGCCATCGTTTCCCATCACTCACCGGCGCTGGTGAAGACTCTTCATGCGTCACACCCGCATGCCGTTTCCTATGTGTTTTAGAACTGAAACGCTATGCTGAAATCGACTCTATACTGTATGGTCGTTCGATTATGATAAAATACCAATATGTTGTTTAAAGTTATGAAAAATAATAAAACAAATAGAAAACTGCACGCTCGACTGAACTTTACTTAATAATTGGATATATTTATGGTCTATTCCAGCAGATAAAGTAAAAGTAAGGTAAAATCAATCTTTATTTATTTATTTCATCGACAAACAAAGCTGTCGATTTAAAAAAAGGGGGGAAAATAACATTAATAATTAGTATTTATTTACTCATTAAAACTAAAGAATAAAAAAGTCTATAGAAATTACAAAAATATCTAAAAATAAATCCGACTTGGTGGTGGAATTTTATTTGAAAAACGGCCAGCTATGCCCAGCTATTCACAGCACAGGGTATCTAAAAACGTTGTTAGACCTAACCTTCAGACAGTCTTTTATTAATAAAGATGTTAGGTAGCTCTTGTATCGAAAAAAATTGTGAATTATAATGTCCTTACTAGATGTAAATATATTAAAACACATAAAAATATTAAAATGTTTTAAATAAATAAGCGAAACAGTATGCCTACAATAAAGAAAAAGGATCATAAAATTATTTCAATTGAAAAATATAGAATTTTTTAAAATACGAACTAGTGAACAAATTTCAGTATATTCATTTCAAAATTGCAAAACAATCTATACTATTAAACACTTTTAAAAGCTTCTGGTCCGTTTGAAAAATAAATAAATACAATATGTTGTAAATAAAGTAAATTAAATATGTTGGTAGCTTTTTAGTTATTTTATAAAGCTTGACTTGACTAAAAAATATATTTAAAAAAAAGTTACATAATTATTGATACAAAATTTAATATCGATAATAATGAATTAATTACATTAAAATTATGAAAACCTTTCTGTATCTTTATACGTGTATCTATCCTTGACGGAAGTCCTTTGCCAAACCCCATTTATTTGTTCAGCTATGTTTTTAAAACAACAAAAAATCTGCAAAAAATCCCAAAAACTTTGGTTATAGCATAAAACTTTGTTTTAATATAGAATTCTAATTGGTTTTATTAGAATGTTAATATCACATTCATGACAAAATTTTAAAATTTTACATATATTTGTGCAATTTAGGCAAAGAACTGGCCATAAAGAAATGCCTTGGTCTAAGGCGAAATTATCAAGAAATATTATACAGTGAAAACTGACTTATTGGACACCTCTTTTTCATCATCTTATTTTATATCTAGTTCTATTCCTAATTTCCTCATTTATATGTTAAAGTTCCATTACTTGCAAGAGACTGGATTAAAGGTTGCATTCTTAGCTCTATAAATATTAAGTTGTTCCTTAGATATATTACAAAATAAAGTGATTGTTTATTTAAATGATTACATGTTAAGTTAGAAAGCTTAATTCGCTTTTGCCCTAGTGTCTTTCTTTGTATTGGAATCATTCAGCGAAACTCCGTTTATTTTTCCAGCCGTATTTTTCAAACTACAAATAATGTGCATAGAAATTTGTGCTTTTTAAAAATTAAATCCCAACAAGTTTTGTTGTAGAATAAAACTTTATTTTAATACAAAATACTAATTGGTTTAATTGGAACATAACCATTATATTCATGACGAAATTGTGAAATTTTACTATAAACAATAGAAGTATCCTTATTCTATCTCTACTGTATATCCTAATTTTCTCATTTATTTTAACTTTGTAAGAAACTGGATTACAAATTTTAATTTTAATTTTTTTTATTTTAATAATTATAAAATGTTAAAATATATTTTAAGAATGGAGTGTTTCGACGGAACTATTGTTGCTTTACTAAATAAATAAAAAAAAAGTTGCAGTCTTATAGTTGCTCCACAGATATTAAATAGTTCCTTAGAAAATAAAATAACAGTTTTTTTAAATCATCGAAAATTTAGCAACATTTGTTTCTGGCTAAAAAGTTTATTTCGCTTGTTTGACTACCTCTTTAGAAATGAAGGGACCCTTCCCTGCTGATGCCTGGGAACCACCCAGAGAGGGGATAATATGTGTGATTAAAAAAAAACTTTTGTTTCTTCTGCTACAGTCAAGAACAGGGATAGTAGTTAATAGTTGTATGGATGGCTCAAGTACTTTGTTTGCATTCACGGTTTAATGCTTGAAATATCGAATCGAAAGCAATAAAATCAAAAACACATGTGCTAAGCAATTTTATTTTTTAAAAGTTGCGTAAGCACAATAATAATAAGTACGGGTATAATCGGTCGGTCGGAAGTGGCGCTGTTGCTGGCGACAATGGACAAAATTCGAAATCCAATTACCGCACAAATGGAGCGGCTAATAAACATTTAAGGTCGCGGTAGCACCAGGCATGAGTGGACAAAAGGTGCCATTTGGGCAGTTAACAACAAACAATACACACACACACACAAACAGGTGTATAGATGTATGTGTGTGTGTGTGTGTGTGGAAGTGCAGAGGTGCGCAGTCAATTTGAAAAACCGTTGTTATGCATTTACGCATGCGCTGCATACGATATTATTAATAATAGTACAGACAGACAGACAGACAGACAGGCCATGTGTACTTTTCGAAAGCGCTAACAAATGACAGACACTTGCTGGGGCATATATGTATGTATAGTATATATGTACTCGTATGTATGTAGATGGGGAGTCGGGGTGGCGGGGAGAGGATGGCTTGAGTGCACGTTTGGGTATGCCGTTGTATGAAGTGTGGTCTCGTCTCGGCTTCTGAGTGTCTGAGGCCAATATTAATTCGGTTTGAGTGCCTTCAATTCAATCAAGAAGCCATTATAGTCATCGTGCTTTGTCACTCGTCGTGCGCTTAGCCTTGGCCAATGTGCTGGGGCCGAATTGTCCGCCCGATGCCAAACAAACTGACTGGGGCTTTTTAGTGCTTCTAGTTTTCGCCTGGTGTTGTTTTATATTTTGTCGCCGTCGTCGTTGCTTTGTGACGTAAGTGCACACACAATGTGGAATTGGCTTGGAATTTGTATAAAAGCTACAGTTGGACGCTACTCAAATCAGTTCACCACCATTTACGGTATCTAGAGCAACTGACAAACCAAAAATAACCAAAACAATGGCATTCAAAGTAAGCAAACCAATGTTGTGTATCACAAATCACAAATCAAGGACTTAAGAAACCCTCAAGTGTAGTGTTGAAAAGTGCGAAAGCGAAAAGTGAAAATATGAATATGAAGAAAGTGCAGCAATCCCAATCCCAATCACAACCAACCTCTCTACCCATCTTCAATTGCAGTTCACCATCCTGTTCGCCGCCTGCATCGCCGTGGCCAGCGCTGGCATCATTCCAGCTGCCGCTCCATTGGCCGCCGTCGCCCAGTTGGAGGAGTACGATCCCCATCCACAATACACCTATGGCTATGATGTCAAGGATGCTCTCTCCGGCGACTCCAAGACCCAGATCGAGAGCCGCGACGGCGATGTTGTCCAGGGCCAATACTCTCTGAACGACGCCGATGGCTACAGACGCATTGTGGACTACACTGCCGATCCCATTAACGGCTTCAACGCTGTGGTGCGCCGCGAACCCCTTGTCGCTGCCGTCGCTGCCCCCGCACCAGTGGTTGCTGCCCCAGCACCCGTCGTCCGCGCTGCCCCCCTGGCCTATGCTGCTGCCCCAGTCGCCGCCCCACTTGTGGCCGCCGCTCCAGCTCCAATTGTGAAGGCTGCTGCTCCCCTCGTCGCTGCCGGTCCGGCCTTCGTCAAGACCCAATACGCCTCGCCACTCATCTCGTACGCTTACTAGATAAGTGATGAGAGATATGTAGACTTGATCCGATAATTGCCGTTAGTTGTTATTGAATAAAGAATGTGATGATGCGAAAAATATGAAAATTGTTTTTTTACGCCTCTTTTAATATGGAATTGAAATCAGAGAAAATGGTTCCCTTTTTTTTTTTTTAAAGAATTGAAGGAAAAAATTGCACAAACGTTTCCTTGAAAGCGAAAATGTACTCTTGTACTTCCATTTCCCCCCGCCCAGTCTTTAAACAAAGAACACTTTAAATTGATTCATTAAGAGACTTTTTAATATAGTCGTCAGACATAAGGAATAATTCTTAAAGCTCCAATGTGATTACAAAATCTTTTTAAACACAAAATTTATTTTTGGTTAAGGTGGTTTTTTTAAACAACCATACCTGTGATATCTTTAAAAATGTATGAGCAAAATAATTTTTAGCCTTGAGCCTATATATGATTTGAAATAAACTAAGTCTGTATATAGATAACACGAGTCTATATGCCTAGTTTGGTGCCTGTAGCTCTCCTGCTTCAAAAGAACTCGAAGCTCATACATGCAAACATAGGGACAGACGAACAGATGGTGCGACAAACATGGCTATATCGATTCGTTGCGAACTGTAATTGCGTATATTTCATGCTGCGAGCATAAAGAGCTAGGCTAAGTATGGAAAACAATGTCACAACACATTCATTGCTTTCGAACAAAAATTCGAAACCTTTCTAGGCATTTTCGATTACATATTGGCTTTGGAAATTAACAAAATTTATAAATAGCGATGGCCGCACCCTTTTCGCTTGCACACCACTTGTTCTTCAATTGTCTGAGGAAATCCACAGCTCGTCGCAGCTCCACAAAGCCAGTATTTGCGCCATTTGCACGCGTTGAGGCTGTCACAGCCACAGAAGGTATGAGCATAGAGCAGGCCTACAATGAGGACAAAAGTCCGGATAAGGTGAATCTGGCGAATGAGGTCTATCGCAATGGAGAGGGAAAGCCACACATTTTCCAGGCAGTACGCAAGGCCGAGATCACACTGGCCTGCGATGATTTTCTTTCGCGCGATCCTCTGCCGCCGTGGGGCAATCCGGAGTTTATTCGGGCGGCTACGAAACTAATTCTCGGCACTGCACCACCTGCGATTGCACAAAATCGCGTAAGTGCTTGCCAAATGAAATGTAAATGCGAAATAATTCCGCTGAGCGTTTGCTCTTTCAGGTACTTGGCGTGCAGACACGCACGGGAATTGATGCCTTGTGTCTAGCCGCTCAGTTTTTACGCCAGAAAATGAACTTCGACACGTGTGTGCTGGCACGTCCCAGCTGGGAGCTGTACGAGCCCATATTCAAGAGCATTGGCTTCACATGCCACAGCTATCAGTATTACAATGCAGCCAAGGGGGAACTCAATATCTATGGACTAGTGGCGGATCTAATGACTGCGCCGGAGGGCGCTGTTGTTGTATTGGATGCCTGCGCCCATAATCCCACCGGCATTCAACCGAGCATTGACGAGTGGAAGCTGATTGGTCATATTATAAAGTGCCGGAAAATGATTCCTCTATTCATGCTGGATATGCAGGGACTAGCCAGTGGCGATCCTATCAAGGACGCCTGGCCAGTTCGGTACTTCGTCGACTGTGGCTTCGATCTGTTTTGTGCCCAATCGTTTGTCAAAAACTTCGGACTCTATAACGAGGCTGTCAGCAATTTGATGATCGTGCTCAGCAATCCGGTGCACGTGTATACGGTCAAAGGTCAAATAGAATCTATGCTATGCGAGAGTCACGAAGAAAGCTCCACTGCTTTTGCCAGTCGCATTGTTGAGAAGATATTGACAACCGACTCTTTGCGCAAAGACTGGCTTCTGACCCTCAAGGAAATGCAGCAGCGTCTTCAAAGAGTGCGCACACAATTCGCCAATAAGCTGATCGAGCTGCAGGTGCCAGGACCTTGGGAGCAGCTTGAGGAACAGAGGGGCTTGTATTTGTATACCAATCTCAAGAGTACGCAGATCAAGGAATTGAGAGATCGACACGTTTATGTGCATAGGTCGGGACGCATTAATGTTGGCGCCTTGAACACAAAAAATGTCGACTTTGTGGCAACTGCCATCAAGGATGTAATATTATCGAAGAACAGCAGATCCGATGACTTTTATAGCGACCATGTGCAGGCCTTGCATCATTACTTCAACACCGCATAGACCTTAGTTGTAATCGAGCCATTAGACATTTGAAAATTAAAGTAATAAAAGGGTGGACTTTTCGTGAATAACTTAAAAAGTAATGGGGTTTTTTTTGGGAGTCATAAAAACCTTAATTTGTGTTGACATAATTATTCTATATTGATTAATTTGTAAAGGAGAGTGAAAAAGTTGTTTAGCGTAGACACTTTTCAGATCGTGATGAATTCTTAAGAGCGTTACACTGACGCTGATTTTTCTTAGTGACCCCGTCCAAGTCGGTTTAGTTTTCATAACTATTCTATTAAAGGTAGCTGTTTTTTTTATTGTATTTGGTTAAAATATTTCAATTCAATTCTCTTACAGTTCCCTGAACTCAAATTGAAGTACTACATCCACATGAATCTTTTTTAAAATTACCTCCAGTCTGAAAGTGTTGAAAGACAAGCAAAATTAATAAGCATTACAAGCACGAACTCAACTTACTCTCACTATCATTTCTTGCAGCACGCTTTCAAGGTCGAATGCCTGACAAAGCGCTTCTGTAATGAGCCATTAAGTGCGGAGAAAAGAACTACCGAAAACGGAGTACAAAACAAAATCCGAATAACGTAAACAGCCACATGAATCAGCCGCATACATACTTGGCACTCTACGTGACCGGGCCAGGCCGAAATGCAATCGAAAGCGGCCAAGAACGACACTAACAAAAACAACAACAGCACGGTATGTGCGACAGCCAGCGACTCCGACACGAGCATTGTTGTAAGCGGTCGTCGTTATATGGCCCACAAACGATGACGCGAACTCGACCAATGAGCAGCCAAGGGACAACCTCGAGTGGGGCTGCGCATGCGCATTTCAAAACAACTGTTATTGTAATTGTAATAGTGCTCTGACCTAGTGCTGTGCATCGTGAAGCCGTGCGTGAAAAAGGCGTGAGTTAGGTACTTCTAAAATTGTGTCAGCATTTAAGGAAATTTTGAAAGCCACAAAAATTTACAAAGTTTATTAATTGATTAATTGCTTCAATTCCAAATACAAAGAAATAAAAGTTTTAATAATTAATATAATAATAATCGAAATTATGCATTGATGTGTGAAATAGAATGAAATACTATATTTAAAAAAGAAAGGCAACCAACATTTTATAACTTGTTCCTTATAAGAACTACTTTATGGATGCTTAATTGAAAGAAACAAATGTCTATTGCTGCTAATAAGACAATTTTTACTGCCCATGCTACACTAGAATATTGGAGAAAAAGAAAAAGACTTTCACCTTTTGCAAAAAATAGATTAAAAATTTGTTGAAATATTAAAAGATCGCATCTAAATTAAATAAATTGTCATGGCATTGTTTCTGTCATAATATTTGTAGGAATATTAAATAACTGTAAACCGTTTGGCTTCAGAAAAATATTAAAATTATACCTAGCTGAGGAAATTGAATGCAGACTATATTTAAATATTTAAAAACGAATTTTGTGTAGTTTGCATACAAATTATAGATTAAGAAATTCTTCATAAATGTTTTGATACCATTTCCCTCTTCAGTTTAAAAAATAGAAGATATAAAATATATATCTTCAGTTTAGAAAAAAGAAGAAAACTGAAGAACGAAATACGCTAACTGTATTTTAAGAATTTCGAGATATTACCTTTCATTTCTTTGTGAGACAAACGCTCAAGCTAATTATACTATAGTTGTATATTGTAAATACTACTTATAAGAAAATAAAAGGTAGTATTTAAAAAAAAAAGAAGAAATAGAAACGAATTGATAACCTTATCATTATCCTTTTGAAGTTGCTTAAAAAGTCGTATTATTATTCAAAATTCTCTGCAGAGCTAAACGAAAAGATGGACTTTGAGAATATGATTAAAATTGGAGGAACTCGTGTCACGCGCACAACTCTACTCAGGCTGTTTTTGTTGTTGTTGGGGCTGCTGTGGACTCTTTGTAGCTACTTACATGATTAACATGGGAACGAACACGCTCGAATAAAAAAAAAAACAGAAAAAGAAACATCGTCGTGTCTGTTGGTAGACGCTGATCGTTTAAAGTACGATTTCGACTATTCAACGGTAATTAACAATAAAACCTGACTTTGACCTTAACACTTGAGTGGTGCTGTTGTTGTTGTTATTGTTGTCTTTATCGTTGTCACTTGTCGCCAGTTGGATGGATACTGACTACTGGCCAGTGGCCAATGCCTTGGCATATTTGCGCATTTTGGTCACATGTTCGAGTAAAAGTCTGAAGAGGCCTTTCAGTTGACGCTATCGCGCCTCTCTCATCTCATCGCACTATATATATATATATTATGTGTGTGTGTGCGTGTCGATAAGGACAGCCTCGTAAATCATGGGGAGCTCCAAAGTCGTTGCATTTGGCGAAAGGTGCAATCCAAATTGCCAATCGACCTTAACTTGACGGCTGCCTTGCCATGTAAATTACATATTTTAGGTTCAATGCGCCTCCGCCGCGATTGTTTATTGAAATGTTTCAAGTTATTGGCAGTTGAATGCAATCTTTCGGGCCATCCCACGTCTGCGGCAATTTTCGGCAATTCGGTTATTCGGTGATTGGTGTAAATGGGCCGCCAGCTCGCGGATAAAAGGTAAATGGGAGGGCTTGTTGCCGTAATGAGAAGGAACCGTGTAATCATCGTAATTGTAAGCAGACGTTGTTGAATGCAACGGAATTGATTGGCGTACACACAATGTTCAAGAACATTTAATTGATTTCCGGAGGTAAGCCTCGGCTACGAACTGAACATTAAACTACTTACGTCAAAGAGCTATCCATGGACTGGTGAATGGACGATATATACGTTTTCGATAGAACATGAAAAAAAAGTGAAAGAGCTCTAAATGTTGTCGACCAAATAGAACAAAAGTCGAACAGCAGTTGCCGAGTACGAAGAGCAGCCCATAGTAGTTTTTTTTTCTGTCGATCTTGAAATTCATAAAAGTAAAATAAACTCGTATAGACTAGGGACTAGGAGCGTCTGCATACTAAGTTTGGTTTATGTACGCTCAGCCGTTTCCGAAATCCAGGCGTTCATCCAGACAGACGGACGGACAGACGGACGGACATGTCTAGATCGATTTTTCTCGTCATGCTGATTCAGAATATATATACTTTATGGGGTCGGAGATGCGTCTTTCTGCCTGTTACATACATTTTCATAAATCTAATATACCCCTTTTACCCTAAGGGTACAGACGCATTGATAACCTCCTCCTTTTTTAATGTCGGTTTGAAAGGAATTAAATGTTTTAAATGTTTTGTTGTTGTGATAAATATCGCTATTGTCTGACGAAAGCATAGAAAATTGGAAGTGCAAATCCAGCAGATCTCTACCAGCTATTACTCTATCTATATACCCCAATCAAAGTCCGGCAATTTGATATAAAAACTTAAAAGTATACAACAATTTATTACATTAACAGATATATAGATAGATGGATAGATTGAAGTATAGATAGATATAGTATGGCCCTGAGTGGAGTTGTCATTCAGTTAGATCTTAATCGATATTAAGTCAACAGTCCTTAGTGATGGGGCTGGTAAGCCACAGGCTGGGGAGCTGCCACAGTCTTAACCACAGTCTTGACATCCACAGGAACGCGGTTGACGACTGCGTTGAAGCCGTTGTGGGGATCGGATGTGTACTGAACGATACGCTTGTAGCCATCGGGTTCGATCAGGGAGTATTCGCCACGAACGACATCACCATCGCGCTCCTCCACCTGGCTCTTCGAGTCACCGGATATGGCATCCTGCACATCGTAGCCGAATTTGTACTGTGGATGCGGATCGTAGTCGTCATCGCGCTTGGCCAGCACAGGCTGGGCCACCGTCTTCAGCACCGTTGTGGGGGCAGCATAGGTGGCCACAGCTGGTGCGGCATGATAGACGGGAGCAGCGGGCAGGACGCCAGCGCTGGCGGCAGCAACGAGCGCCAGGATCGTGAAGTACTGCAGATATATAGCAAAATATAGCAACCTAGTTTTGAAGTGAAGCCTTCAGTACAACTCACCTGGAAGGCCATGACTTGGATTGTAGTCGCTGTGCAAATATCCGATGCGAAAGCTGGGAGGCTGTGGAATGATTGACGATTGCTGGAGCACTGCTTTTTATACGCGAAAAGTGAGTTGCAAATATTAATTGCCTAATTCGCTTTTACGCAAGCAAACTTTTGTCACTTTTATTTACTTTATTGATTTCTTCAACACTAACAGGCATTACACTACACACGCCACTGAAGTGCGAGTACACCCACACAGACGGCCCCGGAGGAGGGGGAGACAGTTTTGTGATCATATTTCTCATTTATGCAACGCTTTTTCGCGCTTATAGAGCTTAGTGTCATATGTAAATTGTGTCCCAGCCGGGAGCTGCTGGCTGGCCGCGGGCTATTCATGACTGGGGCGCTTTCACCATTCCACCTTGAAATACTAGATAACCTGTTTGTAACCAAACGGGGAAGGTTGACAGCCCACGATTATCAGCAAGCCCTGAACAAAGAAACCCTTAAGCCGGCACTAGTACGTCGCTATCAAAAGGCCGGGCTTTTAATGATGTGGCTCTTTAATCAGCTTTATAAGCCACTATTTGGTGTTTTGGTAAGCAGCCAACAGTTTTGCTTCCTGTCGTCCAACATTTAAGAAGCTTATGTAGTCTAAGTGTTCCATTTTAGTATAACTACTTATAATTGCAATTGGTAGAAGTACTTTTATTCAAAAGCAATTAATTGGACAAATTAATAACCTATGAGTAAATGATGTTATTTCCCCCGTCTTTTATGTGTAAGAGCCAAGAGAAGTTGTGCCAAACCCTAAAAAGTGTGTCTTTTAAGAAGAGTCCATTCAACGGCCGCAGAAGTCGGTACTTTGATTAGAGTAAGAGTTATTTATGCACACTTATTCGTTGCCCGTCTCTATACGACAGAAGACTACAAGTCTAGGGAACCCACCAGTCAGCATTACTCATTACTAAGCGACGTGAGGAGCAGCTAATGGCTTTAAAGCGAATGTTAGGATTTGTCGATTTATTACTTTAACTATTAACTCCACCTAATTATCTTATCTTCTTGACTTATCTACTTACTTTATCTACTTAGCCTATTTTTTGCCTTAACTACTTACTTTATCTTACTTTACCTAATCTTATCTTCTAACCTTATCTTCTTACCTTATATACTTACCATATCTACTTACCTTATCTACTTACCTTCTTTACTTAACTACTTACCCTATCTACTTTCCTTATCTACTAACCTTATCTACTAACCTTATCTACTAACCTTATCTACTTACCTTATTTACTTACTTTATCTACTTACCTATACTTACCTATCTACTTACCTTATCTACTTATCTTATCTACTAACCTTATCTTCTTAACTTAACTACTTACCCTATCTACTTACCTTATCTACTTACCCTATCTACTTATCTTATCTACTTACTCTATCTACTACTAATCGTATCTACTTACCCTATCTACTTTCCTTATCTACTTACCTTATCTACTAATCTTATCTACTTACCCTATCTACTTTCCTTATCTACTTACCTTATCTACTTACCTTATCTACTTACCCTATATACTTTCCTTATCTACTTACTTTATCTACTTACCTATACTTACCTATCTACTTACCTTATCTACTTATCTTATCTACTAACCTTATCTTCTTAACTTAACTACTTACCCTATCTACTTACCTTATCTACTTACCCTATCTACTTATCTTATCTACTTACCCTATCTACTACTAATCTTATCTACTTACCCTATCTACTTATCTTATCCACTTACTTTATTTACTTACCTTATCTACTTACCTTATCTTCTTTACTTAACTACTTACCTTATCTACTTACCTTATCTACTTACCTTATCTATTTACTCTACAGCTAGGGCACTATGGTAAGGTATACCCTTTACTCTAAGTCCCCTCTACTCTAAATATCCCCTTACTCTAAATACCTTAACTACCTCAGCTATTAATCCCAATAGTTTCGACGAAACAGAACCTTACTCTATTTATTCAATCACACCATCTACTTCCCCATTATCAATTAAAGATATTGAAGATTTAAAGAAGAAAATCACATTTATTTTGTATTACCACACAATGAGGAATGGTAAGCCACCAGTTTACAAATTTCGAACAGCATAGGCGGGTGCGGTGTATCTGAGAGGGGCGGCTAGGGCAGCTGTACGTAGAACGGGTGCTGGAGCGGCTACAGCCAGTGGTGCTGCCTTGATGATGGGCGCTGGGACAGCCAGAGGAGCTGCTGCGCGGACAATGGGGGCCGCCACTGGTGCTGGAGCAGCATTGACTACAGGGGCCGGGGCAGCGACAGCGACGGCGATTGGTTCGCGACGCACCACAGCGTTGAAGCCGTTAATAGGATCAGCGGTGTAGGTAACAGTGCGCCTTAGGCCATCGGCATCGATCAAAGAGTACTCGCCACGAACGACATCACCATCGCGTTCCTCCACCTGGCTCTTTGAGTCGCCAGACAATGTATCCTGCACATCATAGCTGTACGTGTACTGGGGATGGGGATCAACTTCCTCCAGTTCGATGGTTTTGGCCAATACCGGAGCTGGGGCCACAGCAACGGGCAGGGAAGTTCTCAGAACGGCTGCCTGGGCTGCCACAGCAAACAGAGCCAATGCGAATGCGAGCTGTGAATATTCAATGGAGGATTATTACAAAAAGGTCCTCGAGTAATCCGATGGCTTCTCGCCACACACCTTGTAGGCCATTGTAATGGTTTTGGGGCTTTGATTGAGTTGTCTTGAACAAACAAATGCTAAACACTGAATGATTGACAGTGCGTTGGCCATATCGTTATATAGCGGGTCGGGTGTCATTGATGGCACCTAATTGGAATTCATTTTTGGCATCGCGTAACGCTTTAAGTGGTATTGACGGCCCATTTATTAAAACTGTCACGCACATTCTGCGGTTCTGCATTTGATTTCGCATCTTTATTTAATTCATATGTACATACACATATTTATTGCTTACATATTAAATATTTATGTGCATACGCAATTTACAGTTAGGCGATCACATTCGATATTAATTTAAAATGAAATTCATTACTCAAGTGATTAGTGCTTTGCAAATAAATGTGAATGCAATTGGCTTATAAGTATTTGTAACATTACCTATAAGCATATAGGTATAATTTTTTAAATCAGAGTTTAAGGCTCTTATCCTCGCTTGCTAAAGAAAAATGAAAAGAAATCCTGGATTGTAGCTAAAAGTTAAAAATGCAAAAGGCTTTTAATTCTTCTTCAATCACCTCTCAGAGACAATGCTATGCTGGATAGTTTAGCAAAGAACTGACGTTTTAAAATCAGACTTCAGACTCTTATATTCTTACGAATATTACTGTTTTTACTATTTCTTCCTGAATGGGAAAGCCGTAGATAAGTTTTTGATTATTTTTTCGGCCCATTGTTTTACGTTTTAAGACGCAGCAGTAAAAAAATCGTTGCCTTTGCAATATTCACAAAATTATTCAATGTTTTATATATATATATTTTTTTTTTTTAATCTTTATTCATTATTTAAGATCTGTCCTAAGTATGACAATTATAAAATTATATAGCATTGGATTTGTTTTATATATAAAAGCTAATATATAACTTACTTTTATATTTCATAATTAGGACTGTAGCCGTAATTGTTGTAATAGTTCCTAATGTATGCATCAAATATTTATTGACGTTCTTTTAATATTGCCTTCACTTTATTCGCTTTTATTGCTTATTATAATTTGCACTCAAATTTGTAACTTTACTCAACTAATTAACTTCCATATTCATATATTCTAGTTGACAATATTTACAAATATACAAAACATATTCTTAGAAGAATTGATTTAATAACAGTCCGGCAGAGACACAGCTTCTACTTTCTAAAATCTCAGATTTATCAGATTGTAGCTTTACTCAACTAATCAACTTTAATCTTCATATATTCTAGTAGTCAATATTTAGAAATATTCAAAACATATTCTTAGAAGAATTGATTTAATAACAGATTGATATTCAGACAGCTATCTTCAATCCCAGTCCGGCAGAGACACAACTTCTACTTTCTAAAATCTCAGATTTATCAGATTGTAGCTTTACTCAACTAATTAACTTCCATCTATGAAGATATATATTCCAGTTGACAATATTTACAAATATTCAAAACATATTCTAGAAGAATTGATTTAATAACAGTCTGGCAGAGACACAACTTCCACTTTCTAGAATCTCAGATTTATCAGATTGTAGCTTTACTTAACTAATCAACTTTAATCTTCATATATTCTAGTAGTCAATATTTAGAAATATTCAAAACATATTCTTAGAAGAATTGATTTAATAACAGATTGATATTCAGACAGCTATCTTCAATCGCAGTCCGGCGGAGATACAACTTCCACTTTCTAGAATCTCAGATTTATCAGATTGTAGCTTTACTCAACTAATTAACTTCCATCTATGAAGATATATATTCCAGTTGACAATATTTACAAATATTCAAAACATATTCTAGAAGAATTGATTTAATAACAGTCTGGCAGAGACACAACTTCCACTTTCTAGAATCTCAGATTTATCAGATTGTATCTTTACTTAACTAATCAACTTTAATCTTCATATATTCTAGTAGTCAATATTTAGAAATATTCAAAACATATTCTTAGAAGAATTGATTTAATAACAGATTGATATTCAGACAGCTATCTTCAATCGCAGTCCGGCGGAGATACAACTTCCACTTTCTAAAATCTCAGATTTATCAGATTGTATCTTTACTTAACTAATCAACTTTAATCTTCATATATTCTAGTAGTCAATATTTAGAAATATTCAAAACATATTCTTAGAAGAATTGATTTAATAACAGATTGATATTCAGACAGCTATCTTCAATCGCAGTCCGGCGGAGATACAACTTCCACTTTCTAAAATCTCAGATTTATCAGATTGTATCTTTACTTAACTAATCAACTTTAATCTTCATATATTCTAGTAGTCAATATTTAGAAATATTCAAAACATATTCTTAGAAGAATTGATTTAATAACAGATTGATATTCAGACAGCTATCTTCAATCCCAGTCCGGCAGAGACACAACTTCCACTTTCTAAAATCTCAGATTTATCAGATTGTAGCTTTACTCAACTAATTAACTTCCATCTATGAAGATATATATTCTAGTTGACATTATTTACAAGACATTATGTAGAAGAATTGATTTAATAACATATTGATATGCAGGCAGCAGTCCACTTTTTAAAATCACAGATTTCTCAGACTCCTCAATCCCTTTACAAATTCTTTGCAACATATAGTAAATAAATTGTAAATGCAAAAACGTTTAATTTAATTGGAGGAACTGCGTTTTTTTGATAGCCCTACACAATGGCATAAAGAAAACAATTGGTCAATGCTACACACTCCACACTCATTTAGCACAAATGAATTGGATTAATCGGTCGCGCCGAGCCACGACTGCACAGAAATAGCCGCAGTGTCGAAAAAGCACTCCAATGGCTATTCAGCTGGTCGCTCTATATAAACAGCGCGTGCGCAGCAGCAGTCACAGTTCAACTCGTTCGCACCACTCTGCAGCAACAGTCAACAAACTAACTCACTCGCAATGGCTTTTAAGGTACGTTTAACGCAATTCATCGTAGGTACAAAGGTACTTTAACTCTGTTTGGATTTCCATCTAGTTCGTCGCTCTTCTTGCCCTCATCGCCGCCGCCAGCGCAGGTGTCTTGCCCGCCGCTCAGGTGTACCATGCCGCTCCTGCTGTGGCCACCTACCACCATGCCGCTCCAGCTGTGGCCACCTACCACCATGCCGCTCCAGCTGTGGCCACCTACCACCATGCCGCTCCAGCTGTGGCCACCTACCACCATGCCGCCCCCGCTGCCGTTGTCAAGACTGTGGCACAGCCCGTGTACGCCAAGGCTGCCGAGGAATACGATCCCCATCCCCAGTACAAGTACGCCTACGATGTCCAGGACTCGCTCTCCGGCGACTCCAAGAGCCAGGTGGAGGAGCGCGATGGTGATGTCGTTCGTGGCGAATACTCTCTGATCGATGCTGATGGCTACAAGCGCACCGTTCAATACACTGCCGATCCCATCAACGGCTTCAACGCTGTGGTGAACCGCGAACCCCTCGTCAAGGCCGTTGCTGTGGCTCCAGTTGTCAAGGCCGTCGCTGCTGCCCCCGTTGTGGCTCACTACGCCGCCCCAGCTGTCGTGAAGACGGTCGCCCCCGCCTACACCACCTACCATCACTAAATGCCATTTGTTGTTAAATGTGTTCGACTGAATCTGACTTCTAGATAAATTTGTTGCTAACTTAAAATAAACAAACAAAATCAAACATGAACGTGTATGTATCAACAAGAATATTTTCGCGATTCAGAGTGTTCCTTTAATTTCCAGTATTAATTCGAAATCAGTGATAGCATTTTTTCATAAGAGATTATCTTGCCTATCCTTAGCATCCTTTACATTAATATATGATTAAAAGATATTAAATTGCTCATGTTTGGAAGAAAACTCAAATAATTCAGAACATTTCTATTATTTTAAATGCATTTATTAGCTTAATGTGTCATTAGTTGCTGGCAACACTACAAAACAACACGTGCTTCTCTACTCAGTATATTAAACTACAATTTAGCAACACTATTTTTACAAATAGTTTGCTCCATATTCTTACCCAACACTTTTACTGGCTGTCATTACCTTTCTAAGTACCTAGAATCCTGAATTCTGAAGGTATTTAAAGTATTACATTTGTTTCTATTTAATAATCAAATTTTATTATTTCGAATTTACAATTTATAAGTCCCACAATCATGAAAAGCTTTATTTTATATTTGTTTCTGAATTTTATTTTTATCAAATTTCAGTTTTTATAAAATTTTAAATACTGTTTAATTAATAATTTAGTATTATTTTGATTTTGTTGTATATGTTCTCGTTTGTGGAACATAATTATTGATATTGAATTAGTTTGGAACTTTTTAAATCTAATCATTCTTTACCAAAATGTTTAGAGCCTTAATTGAAGAACTATCCTATTAGAGGCCATAGAAGCTAATGAGACGAAAGAGACTCTCACTCCTTTGACCTGCTCTTCAGAACTTCAGAAATAAACTACACTCCATTCTGTCTATCAATAAACCCGTCATTTCTAAATTTTACGGGCATAGCTAAAAAATTAAATTAATGTCTCCTTAGGGCCAGATTTTAAATATATATGTATGTACTATATATATAAAATTAGTTCTTTTTTATAGATGTTATCATTTCTTAGCACCAAACTGCCTCATTGCATAAAGTTTGGATTAAGCCAAGCTTTTGTAGGGTACATGCAAATATAGCTTTTATCTATAATTAATTGCCAGTAGGCTAAGGCTATATAAAAAGGTGGCCCCTATTGCCCCTTTCAATTTAGAGCTTTAGTGCAATCTTCATAAGCATCATTTAATAGTCTGATTTTTGAACGGACTGATTATAAGATACAATAGTTTCTTAGTATTTCTCCGATCACAAAATTTAAAAAGTGTACCTTAAGTCCTCTAGCATATAGAAATCATTTTTAAAAAAGTATTTCAAAACCAGCAAATATGTAGTTTCAAATATGAGGTTTGTTTATTTATAAGTAGTAAGCAACAAATTTATCTAGAAGTCAGATTCAGTCGAACACTTTCAACAACAAATGGCATTTAGTGATGGTAGGTGGTGTAGGCGGGGGCGACCGTCTTCACGACAGCTGGGGCCGCGTAGTGAGCAACAGGCGCGACGGTCTTCACGACTGTGGGGGCGGCATAGTGAGCCACAGCGGGGGCAGCATAGTGAGCCACAGCTGGGGCAGCATAGTGGGCAACAGGTGCGACGGTCTTCACGACTGTGGGGGCAGCGTAGTGGGCAACTGGGGCAGCAGCAACGGCCTTGACGAGGGGTTCGCGGTTCACCACAGCGTTGAAGCCGTTGATGGGATCGGCAGTGTATTGAACGGTGCGCTTGTAGCCATCAGCATCGATCAGAGAGTATTCGCCACGAACGACATCACCATCGCGCTCCTCCACCTGGCTCTTGGAGTCGCCGGAGAGCGAGTCCTGGACATCGTAGGCGAACTTGTACTGGGGATGGGGATCGTATTCCTCGGCAGCCTTGGCGTACACGGGCTGTGCCACAGTCTTGACAACGGCAGCTGGAGCGGCATGGTGGTAGGTGGCCACAGCTGGAGCGGCATGGTGGTAGGTGGCCACAGCTGGAGCGGCATGGTACACCTGAGCGGCGGGCAAGACACCTGCGCTGGCGGCGGCGATGAGGGCAAGAAGAGCGACGAACTGAAAATATTGGAAATTGTTCCAAGTATATTCCACAATCGAAGCATGTTCTGAGCCTACCTTGAATGCCATTTTGAGATGCGAGCTGTGTTGCTGGAGGAGTGGAGTGGAGTGGAGTGGTCGAATCGGAGGCTAAGTGCAGTATGATAAGAAATTGGCAAGTCTGTGGCTTTTATACACTGAGATCAGTGCTTGCTCGAGGCTGTTGCTATTCAATATTTTCTAGCGAACTAAACGCGAGATCTGTCAGACAATGGAGAGCGAAAGGTCTGGCCGGCAATGAGTGCAGGGCAGCCTAACCGGCACATGCCCGTACACGGAGATAGGTAATGCATGGAGGTATTGTGTGAAAAATGTGGAGCAAATTGTGTCTTGGCTCGCAATTCGACATACTCGCCAACTCGCCAGCCAGCTCATGGATACCGGACTCGCCTTGCCGCTGGCACAAGTGCGCAGCCCCAAGTAAAGTAATTTGACATTCAATTTGTGTGCGACATTAAAATCGCAAAAAAATGCCTTTGTTGCTACCGGATATTTTGGCGTGCCGTGCAAACCGGTCTTCTTAAATACCAAAATAGAGCTCAGCTAAATAATCGAGATTATGCATGGGTTGCTTGTTGGCCACAGGGCAGGGGGATAGACCTTTGAGGAAACGCGCTACACTGCGAGCAGCAATGAATTGAATATTTATGAAATGTTGTACATTGAACTAATTAATTAAAGATATTTTTGGGGGGGAAGCTTACAGGAGAAATGAGGGATTAAGATATTCAACAAACTATTAACTCATTATTTGTATACTGGAGTAAGCTAAGCCTTAAAACTATAAATAGCTAGCCATTTATTAGTCGGTATGTCCATTGTCATATTCTATATATTTAGATAGTATTTACACTTTCATTAACAATTTAAGTAATTGGCTATAAACCCTGTAAGTAATTGCTCTGTAAGCCCATAAAAAAAGCTTGTTATATTCGCTTCGCAGGCAACTCTTCTCGATCTTAAAAAATATGCATATGTAAGTTAGTTATTTATTTATATATTTACGCATTTCACACACTCGTACATCCACTCCGTTTAGTATTCAAAGCATGAACATTAAACATAATTGGTACATAATGAAGACACATGTTTGGAAAAAAAAACCCAAATCTAAGTCTAAGCTTCAGAATACATTATTTTTATTATTATTTTAAATGCATTTATTTGCTGGCCGCACAACAAAACATTACGAGCTTCGCGACTGTCTGTAAAACTCGATGACTTAGTGTTTCAAAACATATCTTTGCAACACTGTTTCCAAAAATCCATTCCATATTCCATTAGCCAACACACTTTACCTTTCTAAGTACCTAGATGTCAGCTTATTTGATTTCATTTTCGTTTCACAGCTTCGGCTGTAACGTTGTCTGAGTTTTATTTTATATTTATTACATTATTTCTTAATTATAGATTTATTTAAATTGTCCTTCCTTTCTTTTTAATAAACATATTTTAGTGTGGCCTTTGCAATTGATCGGTCCAACAATCATGAAAATTATTTATTTTGGCTTGCATATTTCTTTTACAATTTTATTTCATAAAATCTTTGTTTTTTCACAATTTTCAACAATCATTTTGATTTACATATAGTTATGTTTTTTTTTTTAAGAACTTTTTTTTGTATATAAAAGAGTTTGTCCTGACTGACTTACTGATTGACAGACTGATTGACTGATTCGCAATCAACGCACAGCCCAACCGGTAAGAGCTAGGAAACTGAAATTTGGACACAAGAAAGGGGTTTTGGAAAGGTCGAGTTCCAAAAGGTGGAAAAACGAGCTTAAAAAATATTAGTTAGGTTTAACGAAATATTTTGGCAAACACGAAAATGTAACGGATTACTGAACAATTTTTTGTCAAGAACAGAAAACGTTCATTTAAATACCTTAAATGCGTTCCTACCGGTAATTAATAAGGTGAAAATATATGGGTAGGTCATGTACACACAAAATAAATACAATTTGAAACATTGTATTGAGCCGGGCTAAGACGGGCAATACTGGCTAGTATATATATATATATATATATATATATATATATATATATATATATATATATATATATATATATTCATTTACAAGTATTTAGTAAATCAAAAAATAGTGAATTATAATTTCAAATTAAAAGATAGGAAAGCCTAAGAAAAACTATACAATAACGTCTACTAATACCTCCGACCCGCTGGGGGAATTTTATGATCCATTTGGCCAGCTATGCCCCGAATCAAAGCCATATGTGTTCAGGCACATTATAGACCTAACAGGATAAAAAAATAAAAATTACAGAAGGAAAAGTAATTCTACTTTAAAGCTATATGTATATACACTTGTATACATTTATAATTAAATAAACCATTCGATGTTTTAAATTTTTTTGGAAAAGTATTTATTTATTCATCAATATATAATAATGGAATAGTATTCGCCCAGCCAAATTTATAGGTTAGTCAAAAAATCAGATATTTTGTTAATAACCATAACTGACAATTAGTGCTAAGCTGATTATTTAAAATACATACTATATCTTTACCAAACTCTTTTGGAAAAAAAAGCTTTTCCAGACTTATTGGAAATGAAATTGAAGCAATATTAAATTTATTTAATATACAAGTAGGAGTGTGTAGTATGTACCTTAAAACTAATTAACAAAATGTGATTGGCTAGCTATTATGTGCATTTAAATGGAGACTCTGGATGAATAATGAGAACTAATACTTTCGGCAGGATGTGGCTTTTTAGTGGTGATAGTAGTCGTGAGACTCGTGAGCAGCCGGCGCCTCGTAGGTGGCATAGGTGGCGGCCTGTTGGTGTTGGTTCTCGTGGTGGGCCGGCAGCGAGGCGTAGGTTGGTGCGCTGTAGGCAGGGGCGGCATAGGACACTGGGCTCTTCACAACGGCTTGGGGAGCAGCGTGGTGGTATTGGACTGGGGCGGCAGCCACCACCTTGTGGGTCAGGGGCTCACGATGGACGACGGCATTGAAACCGTTGACGGAATCCGCTGTGTACTTGACGGTGCGACGGAAGCCATCGGCATCGTCCAGCGAGTACTCGCCCTGGACAACATCGCCGTCGCGGGACTCGGTCTGGCTCTTGGAGTCACCAGAGATGGCATCCTTGACGTCGTAGGCAAAGTTGTATTTGGGATGGGGATCATCGGGGTAGATCTCGTGGGCGGGAGCATGGGCCTTGTGGTAAAGGACCTGCTGTTGTGGTGAGGCGGCCTGATAGAGCTGAGCCTGCTGTTGGTGCTCCAGCTGATGGTGCTCCAAAGGAATGATGCCAGCCGAAGCGGCAGCGACGAAACAAACGAGTGCGACCAACTGCAAGTACGAAGGTTTTCTAATAAGTATGTCCTTCTTGTGTGGCATCTATGGGCTTGTACTTACCTTGAAAGCCATTTTGCCGTTGCTTGAAATAATAATTGCCCAAAGAAACTGTGTCCTCCTTGTGTGAAGCTGGTGCTATGAATAATAATTAAGCAGCCGTTGCATTTGTATTTATAGACGAAATTTCGAGCCAGCACCAGCACCAGCAGCAGCTTCAGCGCTTTTGTCTTTGGCCTTTCTTTCACTTTTCGTAAGTTTTACAAAACAATTTCAGTTTTAATTCATTTGCATGATGTCTGTCCATAGTTTTGATTTTTTATTTCGTTTATTTCGTTTCCCCCTGCAGCGTAGTTGGACGGCTTGTGTCGGAGATTTGCACCCACGAGTCACACCCAGTTCGGTACCCATGAATGGGAGACAGACGAGACGAACACAAAATCTACAAAATAGGTGGGTAACAAAAAAAAAAAAATTATAAATAAAAAAAAATGTGGCTAACAAAAGACTTGGGGGGGGCCTAAGCGAACCTAACTCCCGCCAGAGCTCTCAAGTCATGTAAGTAACCCAATAAAGACAACTTGATCTCATTGCACTTGACACACACACTCACACAGATACACTCACACACAGATACACTCACACACACACTCGCGCGATCCGAATCGACTCTCTGCTGCAATGACCCAAAAAAAAAAAAAAAAAAAAAAAAATTGGCTACTCAGTCCCCACTCGGCCAAGTGCCACTTACATTGTTTCGGCCAGTTCGGCTTGTTTGGAGGTGTCGGCCAACGTTAGTTGCGGTTTGTTTGGCTCGTTTTTAACCATTTTGGTTGGGCATGTAACGTTTGAGCTTTCAGGCTTAAGCTTTTCCCATCATCATTGCGCGTACGCGCACTCGTTTTCACTGCCCGATTGTGGCATACCCGCACTACACTATAAGTGCTCAATCATGCCGCCCAGAGACCTCTTTTGTGAGACTCGTGTGTGACTCGACTCTCTGCCAAATGATGTAATGTTGGGGCAGTCGCACAGTCAGCTCAAAAGAATGCTAAACGGCATGTCTTCCAGCCCTTCAATGGGTGCTTGTGGAATGCGTAAGGTCAGGCGACGGGACAAATAAAAATAAAAACAAATTAAATGCAAATACTATACAAATACTACTTTATTTAATTCTCTTAACTCGCCTAAATTCGTAGTCAGTAGCGATATACTTATGCTTAGAAAAATCCTTTTAATTAGTTGGTAGGGTATTACTTTTATTAGGGATTCTTTAAGTCAAAAAATAATTAAATAAATATGTTTTAGTTAAAATTATTTTTCATGAAAACAAATATTCGTTTAGAAGAGGTTTTGAAGAGGTTATGAAAAATAATAATAGTTAGAAATAATGAAGACGAGAAAATATTTGATTATAGCATACTACTCGAATGTATTAAATGATATGTGGATTCAAAATATTCCCTAAATATTATAATATATATTATTTTATTATACGTTGTCGCACAGAGCAGGGGCTTATTCAAGGGGGTCCTTAAATATTTAGAAAAATAATATCGCCATCTAAAGTCGACCATACATACGTTATTATGGCGCTATATTTCGCCTTTAAAAGGATTTTTAAATCATTAGGGATTCTTTAAGTCAACAGAATAAAATAAACAAATATTTGTTTAGGAGATGTTTATTGGGTATGCGATATAGAATCGAAAAATAATCAAACATAATAATAGTTAGAAATAATTATAGTTTTTTTTAACAATCTTTATTCTTTATTTAAGATCTGTCCTAAGGGGGACAATTATTAGAAATAATGATGACGCAAAAATAGCTGATTTGTGGATTAAAAATGTTTCCTAAATATTATAAATACCTTGTCGCGGCAGAGCATTCAAGGGGGGTCCTCCCTATATCTTTAAATTTAAAAAATTTCGCCAACTAAGGTCGGCCATACATATATTATTTTAAGAAGGAACTAAGATGGAATTGTTGAAATTATTACTTCAGCATGCCGTGGATTATTTAATAAAAATTTTAGCTTTTTGGCCTCTCCCCCTATGGAGAAAGCTGCTTACGCCCCAAGGCCAACCTCTTCCTATTTAGTTCCCTTGCCAACCATTAAGAGAAGATTTTTCTAAGCTTGCTTTAATTTGTGAAATTTTTCTATTATAAAACATAAAAAAAATTCTTCTACCTTATAAGCAGTGTACATGTTCGAATTCCAAAAGACCGACAAGGCCTTGGGATAATGACCTTTGCTGCGTGTTTGATTAGAATTTGGACAAAAAAAAAAAGAATAAGTTGGCCATATATGTGGAACTCCCTCACAGAAAACTTGATTGCTGATTCTAAAACCGTTATATTTATCGCAATACGTTAATGCGATTTGATTAATGACTCACGAAAAGTGATTGCTGTTAACGAGAAAAAGTTGAAAAAAAAAAACGAATTAAGAATGTCAAAAAGGCGCTGATATGATCGTTACATAATCTTTTTGCTTGAGATTTTGAAACAAGTTCGTTGGCAACCCACACACACATACACACACTCACACACACTCACACACACAAACACACTCACACAACTCACAGACACATTATTCGCACTTTCAAAACTTCTTTCAGCTAGCTTTAATGACCTGCCTTTCGATTTCAATTCACGTCAACATCTTAAATAATGCTCATAGAAATTGCATTATTCGATTTCAATAAAAATACACGACCAATTAAAATGACTGTCCATAGAAAACACTGATTGCTCATTACCCAGCCATTATGTAGACATAACAGCCAGATATCGAGAACTTTTGATCGTGTCTGACGTTTGTCTGGCCAGCCAGCAGAAAACCAGTTCGTGGTGCTGAACGGAATTGGAAAAGCCGGCAACAAAGTGCCAAAAAAATAGGAGAAGAAGAAAAAAAAAACACAAATCCGACACAAATCGTTTGCAAACACCAACCGGAAACAGCTGGACCACGTGCTGGGCTTTTGGGGCATGGAACAATACCCACTTATTATTACTTCTTACTCGTACTATTATTATTAATATTACTTGTATTAGTGGTATCTGTGAGTAGGAAGAGAGCATCGGCATCTACGATTGTGGAGTACTTCGAAGCGCCGGCAGTTGTGGCCATTTCGAAATTAACATATCTGCTGAGTTGGTGAGCTCTGATTGGACACTTGTTGATAGGATTGTTTGGAGGCGAAGCGAATGGAGCAATCAATAATTGAAAACCTCATACGACTTAGGAATTTCAATGCCGCAACGAATTTAATTGGCAACGAAATCATTTAAAGTGTGGGCCTAATCGGTTATTGGTACCAGCAGCCTATTGTTTGGCCAATATCCTTTGCTCACGGATGTGTTTTTTTTTGGTGGGGAATGAAAAGTTTTGGGGTTTCCGTACTGACTTATTCTTTTTAATATTAAATAAAGAATACAATAACAATTTAGCTGATTAGAGTTGAGACTTAATGATGGTAAGCGTATGCGGGAGCGGCATAGCTGGCATAGGAGGCGGTGGGCGCGGCATAGTGAGCAGTTTTGACCACAGCGGGGGCGGCATAGTGGGCCACAGCTGGTGCGGCATAGTGGGCCACAGCGGGGGCAGCATAGTGGGCGACGGGGGCAGCAGCAACGGTCTTCACAGCGACGGCCTTGACGAGGGGTTCGCGGTTCACCACAGCATTGAAACCATTGTGGGGATCGGAGGTGTACTGAACGGTGCGCTTGTAGCCATCGGCATCGATCAGGGAGTACTCGCCACGGACGATGTCTCCGTCGCGCTCCTCCACCTGGCTCTTGGAGTCGCCGGTGATCTTGTCATCGACACCGTACGAGAAACGGTACTGGGGATGGGGATCGTACTCCTCGTGCGACTTCACGAGCACCTTCTGGGCCACGGCCACGGGGGCACCATAGGTGGCCACCGGAGCACTGGCATGGTAGACCTGCGGCACCGCCAGAGGCGCATAGCCGGCGCTGGCGACGGCCACGAAGGCGAGTGCGAAAACAAACTGCAAATTGTTGAGGGCGAGGTAATCCATTGATACAAATTTGATTGTGTGTAGTTGAATATTTACCTTGAAGGCCATGGTTTTTTTTGACTTGGTTTATTGATTGGATTTAGTTCTTTACAGAAGCAAGACTGGATGCTGAATGATACTGTCTCTGACCCGCTCACCACTTTTATACACATGTGCGGGCACTTGCATTTCGCTCGATAGTCGATTCGATTGCGTCTGGTCTGCATAAGGTGCTTAACTTCGGCCTTCTGCATATCATGTTCGAAATTACAGCGCAGTCACTGCGATAATCGAGGAGATTGTCATGCTCTCCGGCGCAGCTGCTGCCGCCTCGACTGCACTCCAAATGGGCTAATTATTTAGAAAGGATTTGGGATTTCCTTTGGTCGGAGAGGGGTACGTCTGCTAATTTGTGCATTGGTCGGGCATTACGAAACGATTGAAAAGGCGGCTCGCATGCACTTCTGTATTCAGTACGTATGTATCTACAGATTTGATAAGCGAGCTGTTAACGCTTGTAAGAATGTAGGTAACGACCTCGAACTGCGCCAAATTAAAGGTTTCTTATAAGAGGAGTAGACCGAAGCGTCAAAGGGCAGAACAAGGGTTCACATTGAAGTGAAGTGAAAAAATTACGCAAAGCCAATTGGGTTGTTTCAAGGTTGAAACAAAGAAAATTCAATCGAATGTAAGCAGAAACAATTATTTATTTCCAAACAAACCGATATTATTAAAGCTTTTATTATTGCATCTACAAGTATGTATATGGATTGGGAATAATACAAAATTGTTTGCTTATTCAATTTAAAAGATAGTAAATTTTGTTGAATAATTACATTTAAAAATTTCTTGATTATTAATAATATAACTCAATATATTTATTTACACTTATTCATATTTATTTATTTAAGTAAATATATTTTTGAATGCAAACATTTGTAAGTAATATAAATGTTAAAGTAATATATTAACCGATTAGAAATTAAGATATAGAATACGATTTTTAATATGATAGGAAAGAAGAAGAACTAGTGATCCCAGATTAACATTAATTTTATGTAGCGACAACGACAATCGCTGAGGATGTTATTGGAAAATTTGATATCGATAAATGGTTTAAAGCGTCCATGAATTATAATCGCACTCAAATTAAATATGCATTAATATTAATAGTAATGCTAATGTTTTATTCAGTATGAATAAAATTTTAATATTTTATTTAATTTGTTCTAATAATTTATTTATTATTTCATTTATTCTAATTTTTTAATTTCCATCGGTACTCTTATATAAATATAATTTATTCTTTTTTATAATTCATTATAGTCATGCCAGTTTATGTTTATGTTTATAAATATTTATAATCTACATTAACATTCGTATTTAAATTAATATTCAAATTACAATTTTTTATATTCACATTCTAATTAATATTCTTATTCGCATTCTGATTCACATTCTCATTCATATTCAAGATCATATTCTTATTTATATTTATATGTATACTTATTCTGGTTCATATTCCCATTCAAAATTTAGATAGATAAATGTCTTTTTTTCATTTTAATTTTCATTGCAATATTTATATTCATTTATAATAAAGATATATTCTTATATAAAAACGATTGAAGACTATTATATTTTATATCATATATTAAATTTAACTTAGAATACGCTCTAAGACTTTTTTTGTATGTAAACAAGTTGAAGCAAGTTTTGGATACAAAGTCGTATCAAATAACATTTCTGCTCTCCTTCTTTTCTAAGTACTGTAACCAATGAAGACAAAAGTAGGTATTTATTAATTGCCTTGAGAAACAAAAAGTATTTGTAATAGAACTAAGTTTTATGCTTAAATATGGAAATTACATAGACTAGATTGTAGAAGGTACTAGGTTCCAGAAGCGCGATCAGACTGTACTTTCTCTAACTCCATGGTTCTCTACACCCACAGTACTTACAAATGAACAGGAAGTGTGTGCCATACGCGTACAGTGGAGGTAATCGCAAGCCAATGATCTGCGCCCCAAACAATGAAAGATACTTTGCTGTCACTGCGAAAACAAAGCGCGAACTCGTGCTCGGCGACAGACCGCTAACTTGGCTATATAAGTCGATGTGCGCTCAAGAAACGTATCATTCGTCAGTCAAGTTCACTTCTGTAAAGAACCAAACCAAAACCGTCAACCAAAACCCACAATATGGCTTTCAAGGTAAATATTCAACTACACACAATCAAAATTGTATCAATGGATTACCTCGCCCTCAACAATTTGCAGTTTGTTTTCGCACTCGCCTTCGTGGCCGTCGCCAGCGCCGGCTATGCGCCTCTGGCGGTGCCGCAGGTCTACCATGCCAGTGCTCCGGTGGCCACCTATGGTGCCCCCGTGGCCGTGGCCCAGAAGGTGCTCGTGAAGTCGCACGAGGAGTACGATCCCCATCCCCAGTACCGTTTCTCGTACGGTGTCGATGACAAGATCACCGGCGACTCCAAGAGCCAGGTGGAGGAGCGCGACGGAGACATCGTCCGTGGCGAGTACTCCCTGATCGATGCCGATGGCTACAAGCGCACCGTTCAATACACTGCCGATCCCGTCAACGGATTCAACGCTGTGGTCAACCGCGAACCACTCGTCAAGGCTGTTGCTGTGGCTCCAGTTGTCAAGACCGTTGCTGCTGCTCCTGTGGCTCACTACGCTGCCCCTTCAGTGGCTCACTATGCTGCCCCTTCAGTGGCTCACTATGCTGCCCCTTCAGTGGCTCACTATGCTGCCCCTTCAGTGGCCCACTATGCCGCCCCCGCTGTGGTCAAGTCTGTGGCTCCAGTGGCCCACTATGCCGCGCCAGCTGTGACGTACGCCGCTCCCGCTGCTCACTACACAGCCTACTCCGCGCCCGCAGTCGCCTACCATCATTAAATATCGAACGAACGAACGAACGAAGACACTGACTTAATCATAGAACTGTTGCTAATTTTATTATTGTACATATTTATTGAGTGCACAGAATAAAGAAAACATACAACAATGTGAACATACTTATCATACAACATAATCGAAAAACTGAGCATTTTTTGTAATACGATTAGACGCAATTATTAATAGTTGATGGCTAGATAATAAACCTATAATACACATTTTACCCCGACTATTTGAGAGTCATTTCATAGGTAAAAGGGTCTATTGTTTATAGTTATTTATTTTACTGAAATTGTTTTCATATATTGTTTGAAAGAAGTTACGAGATAGTTAAAGTTTCTTGAAGGTTGCTATACTTAGTTTTCAAATTATTTATTTTTGTTGAAAGATAATGCCAAATGATTTCAAAGAATTCTCAATTCAAATTGTTCCAATTGGCATAAAAACGATTCAAACGTAAGAAAGAAACAGTTTTTTAAAAATATTTTTTTTTAATTAATTTATTTCTTCGACAAGCAATGCTGTCGATGTAAAAGAAAAAGAACACAAAAAGAAACAATGCAATAGAAAACTTAAACTAAATAAAACTAAAGAAATAAAAAAGCCTATAAAAATGTCTTCCATTAGGGCTGGGTTCCGAGTGGAAACAGCCCTAAAAATTGGAAGAACTCTTGTGTTTTGAGGAAACGAAACTGAAGTGAAGGGAGAGGGTTAAGCACTATTTGATTTGAAAGATTAGTACCAAGAGATAAAACGCTATACAATTTATTTCTTTTATTAACATAAAATATAGAATTAGAGTACAATCAATATCTCTTATACAAAGAAGACAGCATTTAAATTTTATAATTAAAATATGCAAAATAAATTCACAACAGTTCTGCATATCGATTGTGTGTAAATGAAAGGAATATAGATTTTATTTTAATGTCTATTAAATATGTTCTTAATATATTAGCAAATACAGCGTAGGGCTCCATTTAGGCATAGTTAAACTAATTTAAAATAAAAGTGAATTATTCAAATATGGCCCGGATTCAGCAAATATGCAACGAATATTCTAATGTTTAAGACTAGTGGCATACAGTTATCTGTAAAATTGAAAACCCATTCATATTTACAGTGAAAACTCTCTCAATGGAAATCTCTTCTGCGGACACTTTTTCTAAAACATTCGATCGGTGTATAAAGTATTTAAGTATCCCCTTAAGCGGACAAAAATTAGCAACCGGGAGTGTACGGCCAAGAGAGTTTTCACTGTATATTCCGACCATTAAAGTATCATCCCGATTACCCAAGGACTATTAATAAATACTACATATTTTTACGCAGGTTGTCAAGGAAGGCCTGAATAACTTATCATGTGGCTTCCAATTATATGTATTTACATGACAGGAATGCTTGCTGGTATTCTCATTAAGTTGGGGAATCATCACCCAATTAAGAAGTACTTCCAATTCAGCAGCTATTTTAATGGAATTGGAAATAATACACCCAGAAATGCAAACTTCGACTAAACTTCCATCGAACTTAGTGGGAATTAAAATTCATTCAAAACACACCCGATTATTTATCATATTTATTTGAGTTAACATTTATTTTTTATTTTATATTTATTCATTTACTAGCAGGTCTTGTCTGCCTTTGATGGGCTCAGTATTTTTGTTTACAATTATAAGTTTATTTACAATATATTTTTATTTATTTATTTAAATCAACAAGTGGATCTGTCGATTTATTTAATAACAATATATAAGTATTAACATTTTATATATATATATTAAGATTTAAAATTAAAAATGAAAAGTAAGTAAATTTAGAATAGAAAGGCTTTAGGTAATACCTCATTCAATTCGAAAAGCCATTTAATGGCGATTGAATAAGAAAAAGAAAATAGCACAATTGGTTGGAAAGTTTCGTATTCCATTCTACATCAATAAATCCAATTGGCGTTGTTTGTCAATAACAAAGGTCGTTAACATTTCGCATAGGTACTTCATTTTATCCTGTTTTATTCCACATTTATATGAATTTATATATAAATGTGCAGAAATAACTCGTTTTGCAGCAAAACAACAGAAAAAGTTCACAGACATCAAACAAAAAAGGATTGCAGTCTGGAGCTACGGAATGCTTTGGATGCATGCGGTGAAGTCTGGCCTTTTAGACTTTTGTTTGAAATCCTTTAAGGATGTTTCATGCCGCACACGAGACTCAACAATCGGACAAACGGACAAGAGAACGGAGGCCGACACACAAAGTGCAACGACCGATCTTGCCCCGCTTAAAGCTCCTCGACTGTCTGTCTGTCTCTCCCTTTGTCTGGCTGACGGGCAGAGTCTGTTGTGTTTTGTTTTGTAGCCTACGGCCCATTAGCATTTGAATGGAAGGACTGTGCCATCCTTAACAACAACATTGGCAAGAATGGAACTGAAATTATGGGGTCATGACTTCTACTATACTGTCAGTTGATAAATACGAGTACGAGGGTATACCCCCCGTTGAACAATTAACAGGAATTATGGTGAAGCTGACTTTCTATTGCTTACTGGGGAAGATCACTGTACTCGGGTGTGGCGTCGTCGTTTCCCACAGTAGTCAAGACTTCATAGATAACCAGGCATTGATACCAGGGGATAGCAAAGAATTGCAAACACCTGTTGTTGTCGAGTTCGCTGTAAGAACAATTCTAAAGGAGGGGTGCTTCAAGGTCAGACTGTAAGTGCTCCCTCGCCAAGTTTTTACATAGCACCGGACAGGACTGGACTGGACGGGACGGGACTGGACTGCCCCTCAATAATCGCACAATGTTCTCAAGTGTTTTCTGCTTAAATCTGACTAATCAAGTGGAAGATTTTATTGCAGCTCGTCTTTTAGGTGCTTTTCGATATCGATGCCGAACCCTTCTCAACTATATCACCATCATCATCATCATCACCATTATCATTATCAGCTTTTACGCAACGGCAACAACAATGCAATCTGACAAACAAAAAGAGGAAGGAAAGAAAAAACCCGATCAAGTGAGCCAAAGGACCACAAGAGGGAGAATCAAAGACAAACTGGCTGGCCTCCAGACCCGCCCCGCTCCCCTCCCCTTCGACCCGACGACCCGAACTCAACCCGTCTCGTATAAATAGGAGTGCAGTGCTCCTGGCGCGCCATTCAGTGTTTTGTGTTGAGTCCAAGAGGTTGGCATCAGCTCGCAATCGTGCACTGAGCAACAAAAACCATACTTTGGATTTGATTTCTTTTTCGGTTCCTAGCCTCGTTGCGCACACAACCAACAACAAAGATGCAGATACCCAAAGGTAAGTCAACCATATATACATATTTACAACTATTGGATGTGTAATTGAAGCAATTTTTTACATTGTTTATAGCTCTTGGGCCGTATCTGGCATGCTGCGCAACCCAAATATCATAAACACAAATTTTGCCGATCTGGTCTATACGTAACATCTTCCAACTGCCCTGCACCTCCACACACCCCCTTTTTAGGCATTTTGGCATCGCTACATCTAAACGTACAACCGCTGAGGATCAGCTACAGGCCAAGGTCCCACCATTGCTAGCCTGTACTCCTTTTGGCACTCCCCACGAAGCATTGAATCGCACGGATACGTTGGAAGACCCCAAACGCTGTTTCGGCCCTAGAACAAAATTTACATTTGTGATTAAGTTTAGGTGTAACCAATAAACAAAAAACTACAATAGGCTACAAAAAACAAACACATCAAACGGTCTTTGAACTTTACTCGCAATCGAATGAGAATACTTATAATTAGTATTTATAGAGGGAGAGCCAACAGCCTCATTGAAGGCAAGTAAAACTTAGAAGGCATTCTGGCGTGTTAGAGGCAATTTAAAAGGTTTGTAAATAATTTATAGGTCTTTAATCAATTGATTTATTTTGTTTTCTTGTAGTCAATTAATCTTTTCCTTTATAGCATTAACAGGTGTGCGTAAAGTTTTTACCTGTCTGCCCTTAACGTAAATTTGTATCTTGTAACTAAGAATGTGACAGAATCTTCTTTTATAATAATTAAAAAGCCTTTAGAATAAAGATCTTAGAAACAAGGATTTGGGAAAAAAAACGTAGAAGAAAGAAGGTCTTTGAAAGAGGGCTTTCAAGAAAGACGTTGAGAAAGAAGGATTGTAACTAAGAAAGGCTTCTGGAAAAAATTCTTTAATAATAATTATAAAGCCTTTAGAATAAAAATCTTAGAAACAAGGATTTGAGAAAAAAACGTAGAAGAAAGAAGGTCTTTGAAAGAGGGCTTTCAAGAAAGATTGTAACTAAGACTGTTACAGCCAGGCTTCTGGAAAAAATTCTTTAATAATAATTATAAAGGCTTTAGAATTAAGAGCTAAGAAAAAAGAATTTAGGAAAAAAAAAGCTGAAGAAAGAAGGCCTTTGAAAGAGTGCTTTCAAGAAAGGTCTCGTTAAAGAAGGATTTAAAAGAAGCTCCAGAAGAAATGCTTTAAAAAGAAGGTTTTAGCAAAAATGTTTTACTGAGACGCATTTGTAAAAAGCACGTTAGAAAAATGACTTTAGAGAGAAGGCTTTAAAGTTTCAGAAAGAAACTTTAAAATTACTTTAGAAAGAAGGTTATAGAAAAAGATCTTAAGTAGGACTTTTAAAAGAATGTTTTATTAATACTTCTTTAGAAATAAAGCTTTAGAAAGAAGACTTAAAAAAAAGAAAGCCATCTGGCTTTAGAAATAATGCTTTAGAAAGAATATTTTATTAAAAAAAGAAAGCCCCCTGGCTTTAGAAAGGAATCCATCTGGGTTTACAAATATGACTTTAGGGAAAAGACCTTAAAAACCTGATTTTAGAAATAAGTAGAATTCGCCCGAAGAATTTTATTTTAGAATATCAATTTTATTAGAATTCATTGAAAAAATAATATATTCTTTGCATACCTGTACAATTATTTGAATTTGTGTGCAAATTATTTGCACTTGTATTTTCTCAAAATTGTTGATAAAAGAAG